TGTAATTTTCTTTCATCTTTTAATGGAGAGAGGCTCCATGGTGATGCATATTATCAATCTTTATTAAAGATCTTGATTGTTGAGGTTAAAGCCATTGTATGTATATACACTAAATATTATATTAGGCTGTTTTGAAGGAAAAAGTGGATTTTACAGAGACATTTTGTGGGTTTGTTTCTTTCTCACCAGTTTTCAATTTAGTTCTGGAAAATGTGCTAAATGTGCTTTAGAAATAAATAAACTTGAAAATTACAATGAATGTGGTTTGTCTCCAGGCTGCTGATGTGTAATATGTACAAACTTATACAGTTTGTTGAGGTTGTTAAAATACATTCAATAAAATTTGTCTTGAAAATCTTTTATTTTAATTTTTTTACTTGGCACTGCACTACTTTATGATGTTTAAATACAGTCCACAAGGACCAAATACAAAAACGACCCCGTTCAAAAAGTGTACATAGGCTTGATTCTTAATACTGTGTCATTACCTGGATGATTCATGACAAACTTGTGACCTAAACTCTATGTACTGTTGTTTTTACTGTTAATCTCCAAGCATTGCAGTAAGTTATGATATTCTGTCTCTTCTGCAACTTCTACTTGTATATACTATAGTATACATAACTTGAGACAAGCCTGTTAAAATACTTGATCGTTTGCCTATACTGCACACCTTCTAGTGCAATATAAATAAACACAGCAAAATAGATTTAGATCATTTAAGTTTATTAGTTCACAACATAACATTCAGGCTGTGTGATAACAGCAACATGTTGCGCTATTAAACAAACAATATATACACCACAATCACAGTATTGTATTCATACATCTCTTTTTGTACACTAAATACACTATTACCTTAAATATTAACTTCTTTACAAAAAAAAAAAAAGTAAGCAAAAGGTGACACAATTTAGCAAAAACCTTTAGGACAGGGTTTGTCAACTGATCAAATCCACCCAAACTACTTAAGGCCTTCAGTTTCACTAGAAAACTACAAGCAGGTGAGTTTCCTACTGTGTAACAAAAGATATGAGAAATGTCTAAGTGGGGTTTTTTGGCAATGGTAACTAGGGCTGCACAATTCATCGAATTTCTAATCGCAATTACAATTATGGATGCCACAATTACGTAATCGTTCAAAGTCCACTTACGTTATTCTGCACGCTTAAGATGTTTTTTTTCTTCTACATGTTATCTTAAGTGTTTTTCCATTGTTTTAGTTTAACATTATAATACCATTCATATTTTTACTTTTTTATAATATAAAGAGGAAACCAACCCAATGTATATTTAACATTTGAGGTTTAATACTATAGAAAAGCACTAAAGGTTTTTCAGTTAGTGTTTTCAGCTTATTTTCATATAAAAATACAGCATGCAGTTGCATCAAGCAATTGTATAAACATAATTCAATGTAAATTGTGATAATCATAATAATCGCAATTACAATTTCAAGGGAGTAGTCGACAATTATGATTTTTGTCATAATCGTGCAGCCCTAATGGTACCCAAAGCAATTTGCTTACCAACATTCTTCAAAATATCTTTTTGTGTGTGTGTCTTCCACAAAGTATTGACAGAATTAAAATTTTTGGGTAAACTATCCCTTTCAAGTCCGAAACACTGCACGATTTTTGGCTGTCCCAGACAAAAGATTGGCATCGTGAAACAATCTTGGCGATTTCGGTGATCGTGGCTCCTGATCGGTGGTCGTGTCATACAGTAAGAAAGGTTCAAAGACGGCCGTTGTCACAGTCTTGCGACCAAAGATAGCCTACGATACAGCATGATCATCCAACAGTGTGTTTGCTGCTGCAATCCACGTTCACTGACCAACCAATAAAAATGCGACATGAAATCAACGCGACATGGCACTAAAACTGCTTACCTCAAGCTCTTATGCTGTCCTCTTTCGCTGATTTGAATTTGTGCGCACACATAAAAACTACAAATGCTAAAGTGTGATTTATCACGCTCTTTTTGTTTTCCACTAGCGCATGCTGGTGACGTTTTATTCTTCTATAGTAACGTGTGGCGTAGCGTATGAGTCAATAGGTGTCATCATCGTACAGTCTACACACGTCGTAGCCAAGTTTACTAGATCCATGTCACACAGTGTGACATGCAGTGATCTTACAGGATTACTAAAATCGTGCAGTGTGTCTCGGGCTTAAGAGGTTCAAGCAGAACAGCATGAAAAATCAATCAGCAACAATCCATTGTAAGAAACCATTGTAAGTACTAGACAAAACTATTAACTATCCTGTGGAGAACTGACCAGCATAAAACCATATCAAAATATATCAGGCCACAGTCACTAATCATTTGTTGCATATTTAAGTGCATAAAGTTGGTACAAAATTCTTGCCAGATTCACAACAGTTGTCTGTTCTTATCTTGATGAATGTGGATTATTCTAAATGAGAGAATGTCAACCTCACCTTGCTCGGTAGAGATAGGTGCATTCTCATCTGAGAGCCAACAAAGTTGGTGCAAAAACTTTACAAATTTACTAAAACATTATGAAGCTATGGATGAATCGTGATTTCTGTATGAAAATATTCATGCACAGCTTTTAGACAATACTTAAAACAACAGTACCTGTCTAAAATCTAAAAATCTAAGGTTGGTATAGCACTTCATTAGTACAGCGCTTCATTATGTTCAAGTTGGCCAGCTAATGATCTAATGCCTCCATGCCTCCTCCTAAACCAACCAACTTAGGTCTGTTTGTGCACTACTGTCTTTGTCAGTTTGGCAAAAGAGAAGAACATGCTGTCCAGAGGTTTGAGGAGATCCATTCCATGTCAGTATGGCGGTCAGGCCGACATGTTGTTCAGCAGGGTAGATGGTTTAAGAGGAAGTATATAATCTTCTCAGTCTTTAAACCTGGGTTTAAAACGTAGGTCCAAGAACTCTATTGTTTGGCTGGACAGCAATTCATTCAAAATGATCATCTACATAGGAAAGAGGTGAAGAGATCATGAGTAATAAGCATGTGTGCCCATTCAAACCAAGAATGACAGCTATATTAGCATCGACACCAGTTTTAATGAGTTTATCACTAAATGAGGAGCTTCTACAATCTGTAACTGGTTTGGTTAGGGCTGTGCAGTGCACAAAAAAATCGGTCTGAATAAATGTACTACAGTAGCATGTGTGCAATACAGTTTTGCATGTGTATGAGCCCGTTTACAAACCTGTTGTCCAACAAAGATATCATTTATTGGCATGCTTTTTCTCCTAATTAACTTGATAATATAGTTGAGTGTTTGAAATAACTTTTTTTTGTGACCTGGGGCCCGTTCTTCATATATCGCTAACTCAGTTAGCTGGATTTGATTGTTGATGATTTGGCATGATCTTGGATTGTTTGGTTCTTCGAAGCTCATCCCGGAGGTGCTGTCATTGCAACAGGTCCGTAAGTTTAAACCTGCTCGGGAGCAGACTTATTTCATTTAAACAGGATTAGATTGCATCTTTTTAGGCAAATTTGATACTTAAAACCTGTCCCAACCACTGCTACTTTACTACAATTGTACCCTACTGATCCAGGGACAATAATTTAAAATGATAATAATTAAAAAATCTATTTGAAAATAATATAATAATGTTGTGTAATCTATAATACTATAGACACAGCCGTTTTTACTCATTGAAAGATTTATTAGTGATAAAATAAATTACTTTATAATTGTATTAGAGTCTTACACACATGCTGTACAGTTAATCGGAGTTGTGCATTAATTTGAGTGCTGACAGATATTATGGGAGTGGCTTGATGGAGCGCAGGAGATGCAGATATCTTGAGCTTGACCCTTAAGAAACTTTAATTGATGCTGTCACATAACAAATCTGCTTCAAATATAAAATTAAATGAATTGCCAATTACAACATTAAATTAAAAACAAATACAATACTCAAATCGTGAATATAAATAACTGGAAATAATGTAAAAAAAATTTTTTCAAATAAAATAAAAACAGTGCATTTCATTTATCTATTATAACATTTATGTAGTTTTGTTCGCTTGGCGTTCTCTCGCGCAAACTCATTCGGGAGTGGTGACTTCCCACGTATTCCCAACTTCTGAGCCTGCTCGCCTGAAGTTATGGTTGATTGCTCTTCGGCTGGATATCAACACCCATTAACGTAAACTATGCCAGAGGGCGTACACACCTCACGCACCGGCCTCACGCACCGGATGCCGTGCGCGCGCTCAAAGCAGTTGGACATAGTGGTGTATTAGAGGTAAATAATTCTATAAATACTATTCGGTTTCTGGCACAAACCGATCGTTTCGTGTCTTAGGACATCAATGTGTCGTCACGAGCCGCAGGGTTTATTTTTGATTTGTCTGTGCATGTTTTTTTTACTCTCATAGATTTTGTTACCATTGCCATGCATTACACGACTGATAGACTGCAACAGTTAAAGTTAAAAATCATCAAATCTGTTCTCCTGAAGAAACAGTCACCTACATCTTGGATGCCCTGGGGGTAAGCAGATAAACGTCAAATTTTCATTCTTGGGTGAACTATCCCTTTAAGTTTCATCAGTTAAAATTTCTCCATCTCTATTGTGCGTTATATTCAGCGATAACTGGATAACTTTGTACATATTAGGGATTTCACGGAGCATAGTCAGTAGTATTACTTCTGCGATGCATTTGTGGAGTTTCTGCGCAAGGGCGCCCTCCAGCTTCCAGTATGAATTAAACAGTCATTACATTACATTACGTGTGTACTCAGTTTCTAAAGAAACAAGATTCCTGAATTATCATCATTGATATCGTTATCGCAATATATACCAGAAATATCGTGATATATTTTTAAGTCCGTACCAGCCCAACCCTACACACCAATGGACCCTAATACAATAATACTGCACTGCAGTTCTATGAACTTCTATGTCACTTTAAATGCTCGAGCTCCTTAATTAAAGCAGGATAGAATGTGGTTGGCTTTCTTTTTTTTTTTAATTGTTCATTAACTGGGGGAAAAAAATCTTTTTTAATAGTGATTCCAACAATATCGCTCCTCTGTGACATTATAACTGTGATGTGGACTCTTTTTTTATCGTTATAGTGATCAACCTGGGTGTAAACGAATCTTTAGTTACATTATGTTATTGACAGTTTATTTATGGATCATTTAAAAAAACACATTTATAAATTACAACACTACAGGTTTGGCCTGTTGTATTTGCGTACCATTAAACTTGTCCAAATAAAATTATTGGTGAAATTGTTAATTTAAGTTTTTTTGATTCTGTCAACAGTAACGAGACAAAACTGACACATGACTAGGCATGGGCCGGTATGAGATCTTGACGGTATGATAACCTTGAGCAAAAATATCACGGTTTCACAGTATTGTCGTTACAGCTCTAAAATGTGTTATTTTTAAATGGCTGGGTAAAAAAAACAAAAAAAAAAAAACAATATATTTTGTTTTTGAGCAACATACAGAATATTAGGAACAGTAGAATCTTTATTTTTCTTCTTTTTAGGAAACAAATCAAAGAAAAAAAATTAACTGACATCTTTATTTAACCTAAATCTGTAATTGCAGTTATTTCATTTTAGTTATATAATTCATATACATATCATTTATATAATTTAGTAATATAATTCAATATATATAATTTGATTTAATAACCCAATTTGAAGCAAAAACAGAATGTTCTGACTAGCTTTGTGAAATTATACTACATGCCTGAACGAAGCAAACAACAGAAGCTCTGAATGAGACGCAGATTCACTCTCTGACAGCAGGAGGCCTTCTGGAACACCAGATACAGCCTTTCCTTCGTTACCGCTGTAAACAAAGCAGCACTGTGCTGAAACACTGCTTTAATATGAACTATACAGAGACCAGATGAAAAGAAAATACCACGTAAACTTTTCTGAAGACAGTCAGTTCCCCTCAGAAACACATTCATATAAACCCCCAAATCAATATTGAGGATTTTCTTCCAATAGTTCGTGCATCATGATCTGCCTGCTACAGTATTTTTCTCTTTGCGTTC